GGCAGATGACAAGCATTGATTGCTGGCTGATGTACTGATCAGATTAAGTAATCAAACCACTTTTGTGCCTGGATAAATCTAGAGCGTTCGTTATCTTCGCACAAATTCTGTCTCATTGTCAGTTGGCCCTGACCATTGTTTAATTATCTTGAGCTACATTCGTCGGTGTAAGAGTTGGCTTCTCTGATTAGCAAGATCGGATGATTAAGCCGGATCAAAGACTTCGATAAGCCATAGCTGAACATTATTCGACACCGAGCTGTATGCGCTTTGCAGCTAAATTTATGCGCAAACAATAACAGTAAACATTTGTCGGGCCTCAAGGCCAAACTCGTTGACTGGTCACTGGCTCAATGGTGCCAGTGCCTCCTCAAAGTACCACGTGCACTTTGATCAATGTGTTTGATTCCTATCGAGTGGCGATCCCAGTCAAGATATTTTACTTTTGAGCATCCCTACCACGGTCAGAGTTGTAGTGAATTTCACTTCCATGACTCCTGCGTGTGTGACGATGCTGCTGCATAGATTGATGTTGTAAATAAACCTGTTGCGAGTCGGTTTGTCGTGAAGAGCGACCTCGTTCTAGATCTGCATCGGTACTACCAGATCGCGACTTGGAGAGGCGATCGACATCGACCATCGAGAAAGCTGCATTTGAACCGTGAGAATCAGACGGAGACGTAAAGCTTGCTATTTCGCGCAAAGACCGAGATACAGAAGATGTTCGTCTAAATTCACCCACTTTTGCTTGCATTGTAGAGTACTGAGGATATGCGAGATCAGAGCTTCCTTGGACGCTAGAGCCTATATTTGTCGAGTCTTGATAAAATCTGCCTGATAAATGTCGTCTATTCATCACAGTGACAGGTTCCCGTGCACTTGGATGATGCATGTACCGTCCTTCAACTTGATTGTGTGTGATGAAGTGAGTTTCGAGCTGGCGATCAGACACATACACATCGTTTCTTTCACACCATCCAGATGAGTCTTCAAAGCTGCGAGCATATGAAGTTATATTCTCGCTACTGGGCTTTAAAGTAACACCGGACCATTGATGCGAAGCCGAATTATTCAAGTTCAAACCATTCAGACCATGCTTCGAGACGCTTCTATATCCTTGCAATTCGGGATGTGTCTGTTTGCAAGCTTCACTTATATTCATATTATCACTAAAGTGACTACCATAGGAGACTTGTTTCTGGGAATTTCTATCTCCACCTCGGTATGATGTATAATCACTGCTCCGTCCCATTCGTTCATGCATCAACTCTGCTCCTACAAATGTACCTTCCTGTGCCTGTCGCGTACGTTTGCAATCGGAGGGCTTAGTACTTGACAGAGGCAGATCAAAAGCCATTCGTTTGCGTGATGCATTTCCAGAAGTTTTATAAATATTCTGCGTTTCAGCAAACGTATTCGAGCTGACTGCATCTTTATGTGGTAGAAGCGACAAAATGGCCGAGTGAACATTAGAAGGAAAGCATGTTTGTAACAGCTCGTTGTTTGATGCGATATGTGCCACAACATCCAAAGGTGATAGAAAACGTTCGCCGGTAGAGGAGACAAAACATGTGTCGCCTAGTCCAGAGTTATTTGTCTGTACTCGCCAGCCTTGACGCACTAGACTAGGGAGCGCATGATTTTCAAACAGACTAATCACAAATTGCGCTTCACGATCACTCACTTGAATGAGTCCACGACATAAGGGAGCCATCATCAAGTCATTTGTATACGAAGTTACAGGGTACGATTCCTTCTCACTCTCTCTTTGAAATAAAGATATATCAGGCAATGGTTGCGTTGGATCCGCACGCTCAATTTCGTCTTGAATCAAGATTTCCAATGTGTCATCGATCGTCAGATCCTCTGCAGCACCATCTGCGTATACGACTGTATACAGCGAAGTTGCTGTGTCAAACTTGACGACCTGACCCAAGAATCGTCCGTATCCAGGAAATGTTTTGGCCACACGCAGACCAATCAGGTCATGAGCATAGATTTTGCGGCCATGGAACATTATACGCACGTCTTTTTCAGACTCGGGTACGGAAGATGCAGACAAAACTTTGTCCTCGACCTGTTTATATTCATTGTCGGTAGAATTTTGGTCCGGAATCAGTGTGTTTTCCTCTTCTCGTTGGCGACGAATCGGATGCAGCAAATTTTGATTACTAGCTCCACTCTGCTTGCTTGGCTCCTGCAGTTTTACAAGTGGTATGAGAGTTGACGAAGAGTTGCTTCTACTGCATTGCTGGTCATGAAGTGCTGCACTATGCGATGATAGGGAAGGTAATATTTGGTTTGACTTTGACGTCGAAGAGGTTTCATTCGCCATCATGTGCATCGAAGCAGCTGATGACACACCTCTTTGGGACTCAGTGCTGGACGGGTGCACGTCACGTGCGCCAATAGCTTCGTCACGTGCGCCAATAGCTTCGTCTTGCCTACCAGTAGTACAAGAAGAGTCGCCACTATCCATTGCATTTTGGTTCTGTGAGTCATGAAGCCAGACATTGTCATTCTTACAACGTCGACTACTTCGAGGGTCAAAGTCATTGGACATCGTAGTCGAC